GCCTCGAGCTCATTATAAAATTGTTAAATATAATTGTTAAAAGGCCAAACAAATAACAAAAAACAAATGATTAATAATTACTTAAACAAAACTTTTTAATTAATTCGTTAATTTTTATTACATCATTATTTTGTTATTTTTGATCATTTTCAATTATTTTTGACTCTTCTTAATTAAAAATTATATAATTATTTGATTAATTTTAATTATCAATCAACAAGCCAAAGTATAGACAAAAATTAGGAATATTTATTAACTGCTTGAATTATTTATTTATTTTATTCTTATCCAAATCTCAAATTTTAAACATTAATTATTACTTTAAAAAAATTCTAAAACGAAATGACTGAAATGTGCAAAGTTAATGAATTTAATTTATTTTAATGAAAACTTTTATTTTTATTTTAGTTCACTCAAAATAAACTAAAGGATTCGTTTTATTTTTAACTAAAATATTTTCTTTTCCATATTATTAAAAAAGATAAAAATATAGTATTTATTGTACCTGAAAGCTTTTACTTTTAATATCATTTAATGGAAAATGACTTTAAATTTATGTTCGAATGTTTAAAATATTTATGTATTTATTTTTCCTTTTAATTAATACTCAAAAAATTGTACACTAATTATTGGCAAATCTAAGGCTGCTAAATAAAAATGTGTAATATTTTAAAGTGTACCACATCAAAAGTCTTTCATTGTATATTCATGAATTCATTTAATTTTTTTACTTCCAAAGTAGCGGTTTTGGTCCATAATTGGACTAGTATTTTTCTGTCTGTTTTGAACTAGTATGAGACTGGGATATTTCTGACCGAAATCTGACAATTGCCTTCTTGTAGGATATCCCCATGTTAAAAATACCAGTTGATTGCGTGGAAAAAAGATAGTTGGCTGACTAGTTGGGCATGTGGTTCATACTAGTTGTGAGGTAGTTTACAACTAGTACATTTGACTACAGTTACAAGTCAGCAAGCTACAAGTAAAGTGAGCAGAGAAGTGAGTTGCGAATAAGAAAGTTATAAGTTTAATTGTGTTAACAAGTGGTAAATCATTGTTATTGCTTTAACAAGTATTGTAAAGCGTTTTTACTGTATTAGCGAGTATTGTTAATTGTTTGTTGTACAATAAAGTTAATTGTGCTACAATTTGGTCATCCTGAGCATTTATTTAACAATCCAGCGATACGAGGGATACAGGAAATCCGGCCGAGGTTTTAAGGATAATCGTAGCAATATCTAACTGTCATACTGCTATTAATGGTAACCTTGAATATTCATTAAAATCGTTTCAATTCGTAATAAACGTAGTTTACATACTTCTAGTATAAATATATTAGTGGTATTCATCTAAACCGATAACATTATCAAGCAGATAATCTTATAAGTTTATGCACTCTGTTACATGAACGACCCACACTCTCTTTTCGTTTACACATTCGACAATAGTCGTGTTTTCTTTGGTTATAAAGCGCAGTGTCACTAACTTTATACTTCTAGCACGGGGATAAAGAAATTATAGAAACTACCTCACTAAATTGGAAAAAATTATATTTACGAGATATCTATTTAAATAAATGTACATATAACATAAAGGCTATTTATTTGAAGCAAGTTATAAGAAACAATTGCAAAATGTCTGTTTGTGTATGAATTCATTTATCACGGCTACCAAACTTTGCGAATTATCAGTGAAACAAAACAAACAGACGGGATAATAATTGAACCAGATCTCTATCAGGATCATATCGTTGTTGAATTTGCGTGCAAAATTTGTATGCGGATCCCGATTATTGCCTAAGAAAACATAGCTAGAGTTGCGACAGAGTTGCATTGTCTTCAGTTTATCAAGTTTATTCAGTGAAATCGCTGGATAAATTTATCAGAAATGTGTAAACGAGTTTCCATACAAATTTTGACAGTTCATTTATAAGGTTTACACAATTATAAGTTTATACGGTTTACAATGCATTTATAAGGTTTGATGAATACCCTTATTTTTTAATGTAAACTAACTTTTTTAATTCTAAAATAAGTGAACAATCTCAAGAATAATAAAATATTGTATTCAATAAATACATTCCAAAGCATCCCTGTTGATATCATAATTGAAATGCAAATTAGAATTGAAATTTTGATGCAAAAGATTTTCCGCGATATTTATCTTACAAATTTATCATTTTACTTGTCCGTATGTCGCTCTGGAAAGAAATATATTTTAATTTATATGTTTCCTTAAAAATAAATGCAAATTTACCTATTTTTTCCACCGGTAGGCACGAATATGGTATTCAAAACAGAAACAATGACAACGAATTTTACACACATTGTTGTATTTTAGCGCAAAACGATAAGTTTCAAAAATATTTTAAATTATTGCCTGATACATACACATTTATCGTTATTATTGGAAATGCAAGACTTAGCATGCATTTTTAATTTCTTATTTAATGAATTAAAATGAATAAAAATACATTTTTCTAAAATATTTCTCAATTTAGATTTTTTCTGAAACTTGAATGTAACTCTGTGCGGAGAATGAGAGAATTGAAAATCAGGTGATCTGAGCTGTTTTCAAATGTAAACAAACAAAATGGCGCTTTCCATACTTGTAAGCCTATACAATGATGAGAAGATAGCATTAGCAGAGAAAGGTGTGCATGGCGGCTATAGCCTTTGGCGAGGACTATTGTACAAAGACGTAGGGGATGAATCACGCATCTTTGTACAAAAGTCAATGCAGGCGTAGGTTATTCGGAAGGCACACGAGCGAGGGCACTTTTCTGTTGAAAAGACATAGACACTGGTCGAAGATGTTTATTGAATCCCAGGTTTGTAACGGAAACTTGAGAAGATCATCCAGATCTGCTTGTCGTGCATCTTATCTGAACGGAATACTGATAAACCTGGACGATTTTTTAATCCAAACAATAAGGAGCCCACTCCCATCGACGAGAAAGTCCTACAAACATATTTTTGCAGTCATCGACGCATTCACTAAGTTTGTTTGGCTGTATGCGACGAAATCAATAACAACGGTTGAGGTGATCGAAAGACTATGAAGGTAAGCTAGTACTTTTACCAGACGCATCGTTAGTGACAGAGTCGCTGAGTTCACATCGAAGGAATTTCCTGCATATTGCCGTGATTAAGAAATTCGTCACGAGCTAATGACGACGCGCATCCCGCAAGCTAATGTTCAAATCGAAAAGGTGAATCATACGCTGATTCCACTTATTGAAAAGTTATCTCCTCCGAAACCTGATAAATGGTACCGTCACTAGAGACTGTTGAATACAACGCACCGAAGTACTGCAACTACACCATTAAGACATTTGTTCGGAGTCGAAGCATATGTTAAGGACGACCGGCGGTTATCAGAACTATTTGAGCAAGAATGCTCATGATAAAATTATGCACAGCCAAGAATAGAATAGGCGAAGTTTAGAAAATGAGTGCACCACTGTACCAAGAAGTAAATATAGTCGCCATTCGCCAGACGCAGCAGCGCCCAGGCTTGTAGTTTGCTTATAAGTTCTTGGGGCCCTACAAGATCATCAATCGTTTACAAAATGATGTAAGGCGCATTGGGGAGACCGAAGGTCCGAAGCAAACATCCACAGCAGCAGACTCAGTGAGGATTTTGGGATCTGTTTTGCAGTGCGGAGATTGAGAGAGAATACAAAGATGTCAGCTTAACTTTTGTGAAATAATAAATGGCGGTAATTAGAAGACTAGCTGGCGCGAAAAACACACACCTTGCCTTACCACACTGCAGACAATTTGCAATTTCAATTTCTAAATTTAAGAACTTTTACTGGTTTAAAAAAATATTTTCCCACAATGTGAATGTAAATTAACGTTAACGAACGCCCATCTAAATCTAAAACTATATTCTTTTATAATTATAATTTACAACTACATATCTACTCTCGGGGAATTATAATATATTGCCGCATTTTCAGGAAAATAAATGACTGATATTGTTGATAATATGCTTGTAAATTAGGCGTGGCGCTACCGTAGAGTATAATAGGTCTATGTGATTTAATCCGCGTAATTCATGTAATTTATATTTGGCATTCACCAGCTTCCGGGTCAGATGTTCGAGGTCCTTCAAAATAAATTAAATAAGATTAAAATGACTCTGGACTTAGATATACAAACTAACATACCTTCTTTGTCAGGATTAAATCACGTGTGCCAAAAAACAACTGCAATGGAACGCGGACGTTGCATAGATTATATTCCGGCGGTTTTTGGCTTTTGTAATGTCGTAAGTTTTCACTCTTCGAAGAGTAGTCAAATTGTTGAAATTTGCCTAAAATACCAAAAATTTTAATATTACAGAGAACGGGCAAGAATAGAGAGAGTGGAATGAAAAAAAAAATCAAATGATTATACCATATTTCCATGATACAAAAAAGAAGGCAGTTTCAATAAACAACTTTTTGATTAAAAAGGAGATTTTTGACAATTGCTCAATTGTAAAAAAATCGAAGCGGGGTTACCCAATTTAAGTTTTTTGGTAGAGGGGTGTTTAAATCCTAAATTTGGGAGTATAAATAAAATAGTTGTATTAACATTTACCTTTTAAAAATAATTAATATATTATCTTAAAAACGTTTAAACTTTACACTAAATTCGATAACTACTTGCCAAAAGCTTTATTTTTACATTAATACAATTTTAGTGAACATATTTTAAAATTTTTTAGTGTCATTATGTCATCTGATTATTACACAATGTAGTTAGCTAGGACTATTACAGTTTTCTATATCGGATAAGATTGTTTCTGATATAATTGGGACACTGAAATTACACATTTCGATATTGTCTTTGTCCACGTCTTTCAAGTAACGTGAAAACGGAATTTACTTTGGGACCCATAGGCCTCATGACTTTCAGAAAAGTGAGTATTATCCAATTCTAGTATATTTCGACAACATCATTATTTCTTTGGATAAAATTAAAATATATTTTACTCAATATTGGATTTGGTGTGAAACAAAATTTGTGATTTATTCTTAGAATGAAAACTAGAAACACAATTATCAACTTATGGAGCATTCTCTTTAAAATACAAAAAGGGAAATGTTCGGTTATTTGGGATGGGGGCGGAGACGGAGGTACGGACCCATTGACAAATTGGGTAAAATTTCGGCAGCGCTTAGACAAAATTAATTCTCATCAGTCCAATTCCGGCTACGCTGACCACAGTAATTTTTACAAGAAGGTCCATATTTCAAACCGAATTTATTCATAAATTTGTATCTGAAAACTTGAAATTTTTATTTTAAACTAACGTTTAATTGTTTGACAACACGTGTGTGTTAAAATTTTTTGCTTTGGGTTAAGTCTTGTGACACAACAACCCAAAATTATTGTACAAATAACCGAGCCGTACTCAACAAAGTACCTTTTACTAGTTCGAATTTCGATTCTAAGAATAAAATGTTTGTAAATAAATAAAAAATTAATAATAAAATTTGGAGGATTTTAGATATTGCATACCGTAGCACGAAATGTCACAATCTACTTAATTGTCAGGTTGTTAATATGGCGAAGAAAAAGTGACAATGGAACTACCTTCTTTTTTGTATCATGCCATATTTCTATAAATGGACTCAAAAGTAGAAAATAACTTTGCTTTGTTTTGATTTGGAAATTTTAGCAAAAGTCATTACAAACAATTTATGAAATTTAAAATTAAAAGCGTATATTTGCCCTTATTTTAGAATCGAACACGAAAAGAGAATGGGGCAATCAAAATGTGAAATTTTTTGGTAGAAACAAAAACACCATTACGAAAAAAAAGTTGCCGTAATGTCGTTCTTACTTGTTGTTATGCAGTGGTATGGAAATGTGCTAAGTTCAATAAAAAATCAACGAAAAAATATAAACACGTCTGTCCGTGTACACGATAACTCGAGATATCTCAATGAAATTTGGTATGTCGATTGTCCTTTATCCAAGGTAGGTTCGAATTGAAAATGGGCGAAATCGGACTGTACCCACGCCCACTTTCCATATAAAGGTGTTTTCGAAAAATGCAATAACTACGATATGTCAGTAAATATTGGGTGCAAATTGTTGAAAACTAGTATGTGAAGTAAAATTTTGGTAAAAAATATTATTTTGAGATTTTTGGAAAATGGGCGTGATTATGATGAAATGCTGTATCTCAGTAGCCCATTCACCAATCCTTACCAAACTAGGTACGAGTCTTGCTTAGGGTCTAGTAAGAAATCTGTTGAAAATCGGGCAATGACTACGTGCATCTACCATATAACGGCAATTTGCAGAAGCACGAAACTGCGATAAATCAATAACCACTAAAGCTAATTCATTTAAAATCGATGATTGCGATAACCACATAGTAGAAAATTAGATTATTATAAATCTTTGAATAATGGGCGTGGCGTTGCACACTTATGACCACAAATGTATAACTCGGTAACCGATTTATTAGTTTCTACGAAAATCGGTGCACTTAATAACCTTGCTACGCAGAAGCAATTCGTTGAAAATTATTGAAATCGGACCAAAATTACGCCCGCTTCCCGTATATCTTACCGTAAATTTTAGAAATTCCGTATTTCACTGCTATTTTAATGACTGAGGACGCTAATTTACTCCAAGTTAATACTTAACGTACAATAAATAATACTGCTATAGACTTTTAGGAATTGGGCGTGGCACCGCCCATTTTATGACTACAAAGTTGTATCTCTGTAACCTTTTATAGATTTCTACCAAACTATGTTCAATTAAATCATTGAGTCTAGTTCAGCATATTATTGAAAACGTTTGAAGTCGGGAAAAATACCCTGCTTATCGTACAAAGGTAGTTTAGAGAAAGTTGAAACGACAATATTTGATACTTGCGCCGGGTATATAAAGTTCATTTTCGCCCAAACTTATACTCCTTTACTTGTTTTTTATTATTTCGCTTTATAAATGGTACATGGATTTACGACATAAAATAGTAATTTTTGTTAATAGCAATGAAATAAGACTGCATTAGGCTATTATTAATTTTAAAATAATCTTCTATATAAACACTTATTTCTAAAAAGTATTTTTCTGTTACTCAACAATATCTCCTTTAGTATTTTATAAACTTAATCGAATGATATCTCATTTTGATGGGGAGGAGCTCACGTACCTGCGAAAAATAGTCACGTTGTTAAAATTTAGTTATTTATTTAAAAAAAAAAGGGTTTTACAAAGCTAAAAACACTGTATCCTGACGAGGGGCGCACCCAGGAATATATTTTAGGGGGGGTTTTATATTTCTGAAGATATATTCGTTAATTTTGAGCTCCAGGCCGGTTATTAAATAATACATAGATTTTGGTAGTTTTATTTATTACATTTATTGCTGTCGATATTTCGCCTTCAATCTGAAGGCATCTTCAGGACTGAAAAACACCAAATGCATACATATTTACGTCAAATTACAAAAAATTTACATCAAAAACGCAACTTACATTATTGAGTTTTTCCAATCGACTAATTCTATGTGCAGAAAAATATTAACAAACAAGCTCAAAGAACACTTAAACATAAACAAGAGAATTTAGGCAAGTCGAAATACCGTAAATGTAAACAAAAAATATACAAACAACAATACATGTAGTGGTGGACAGTAGGACGGAGAGAATCTGTATGTAGAAAAGCACGGCATAGCATTGTTATTGTCGGACGAAGTACTGGTGGCGGACCGACGAACAATCACATGAACACATAAACACATGACACCTACGTTATTGGTTTTTGTGCGTGAAAATTAAGTTGCGATAGACATGAGCGCAAATGTCTGTGTCCGTTTTAAAATTCATCCTTCTATTATTAGGGGTGTTCATGATGTGTAGCATCTCTAGAGTATAACGTTTATTGTAATTTTTCTCTTCCTGTAAGATTGCTACATTGTCAAAATCGGGATAATGTCCCATATTTTGGCAGTGAGATGTTAAGGCTGTCTTATTGTCCATAGAGTTATTCCTTAATTTTATGTTAGATTTATGAGCGGAAATCCTTGTCTTCAATTTAGATTTGGTTGTCCCCACATATACCATATCGCATACGTGGGACCCGTCACCATTGCATGGTATTCTGTAGATTACGTCAGATTTCTCATTTTTAGGAACTTTGTCTTTGGTGTTGGTGTATATTTGTTTTAAAGTATTATCATACGTGAACGCTATTAGGGTACTCACAGTTCTATATTATCTACTGTGTTAATTTTGCCACCTGGTAACTTTAAAACATTTTACCATGTGGTAACTTTGTTTGTTGTTGGTTCCCATACTAATTAGAGATAACACTTTTGGGCAAAATTACTAGACTTTGTCTCATGTTTATGTTCTGTGTTAAACTGGCATCTATCGCTGCTTGTACATACATACATGAATTTCGCTTTGGGCGCAGCGCTGCTTGTACATAAGTTTCTCTTTGCGCCTGCCTGGAGCTGGCAAAGGTTATTTTTTTTATTTTTGCGCTGTGCTAGCTGAGTATAAAAAAGAGAAGAGAGAATAGAGAGAAATATGTATGTGGTTTGTTGATGCTCTCTAAACACAAACGCGTGAAAGGCAAACGGTCTAGCAATGCGTGGTATTGTTGATCAACTTAATACTTTATTTAAACATAAGGGTTGCTCACAGTTCGAGTGTGTTATCTTGTTAAAGTCGCCACCTTTTAACTTTAGAAGTAAACTGTGAGTACCCTATATGTGAAATTTCTCTCTGTCAAACATTTTAGAGTGCTTAATCCTCTCTGATAATCCTGGAATATATGTTGCCGATGTATAAATTTTCTTCTCATTTGATTTATCTTTATTGGACTTGATATAGTAATCGCGGATGAGTTTGTTAATCAAGCCGTGGGGAAATTCGTTTTTCTCCAGGATTTCTTTAATAATGTCAATATTTTTCTTGTGGTACATCTTATCACTTATGGTGAGTACTCTGCGGATGAAGTTCGTAGCCGTATTTATAATTGTCCTCCTCTCGTGGTTAGAATTAAAATTTATGAGCCTCCCTGATGCTGTAGGTTTCTTAAACCAGTCAACTGTTAATGCATTTTCTTTTCTGACAGCAATAAATGTAATAAATAAACTCGTAAAATTATACGTATGTACCGAGTAAAATAAATATACCGAGTAGAGGAGACACTCTTAACGTTTCTAATATTATTGAACGGTTAGAGTGCCAATTTTTGTTACGTAATTTTATTTCATATGGATGGATTCTTTTCGATTATTTTGAAAATTAATCGGTTTATCGCTCGATTAATCGAAAGGAAATAAAAATTCGATTAATCGTGCCATCTCTAATTACAACTACGGAAGCCATCGTACGCCGCAATTGTGTTTACTCTGACGGATCTCCCTGCGGTAACCGTACAGCTGTTCACTTACCGCCGACCGCTCTACCGTCATCCACTGTAATTCTGGGTAGAGCTTATACCTTGGTTATAATGNGTAAAAATTCGATTAATCGTGCCATCTCTAATTACAACTACGGAAGCCATCGTACGCCGCAATTGTGTTTACTCTGACGGATCTCCCTGCGGACCGCTTTACCGTCATCCACTGTAATTCTGGGTAGAGCTTATACCTTGGTTATAATGGACGGGGCGAATCGTAACGAATCGCGGCGAATTCGTAAGGATCTATTGATTTTAGATGCTTCCGTTTTACGTTACGTTCAAGTGCATTATAATCGTTGGAATTCATTGCCCATACAGTAGATAATTAAGTGACAGTTCACTCCGTTCCGTTACTTCCATTATAATCCAGGCATTAGTGTAATTTTGCTCTTAAGCACTATTGTAGGTCCCCTTTCAGACACGTCAAGTCTTGCTTTCAAGTCTGCTCGTTCGTTGGCGAAGGAGGTGGGAAGAGAGGGGAAGAGTACATATACCTCCGTACCGTGAATTCGTTTCTAGTTTTCTTGTCTCTTTTGATCTTTTCGTTGCTTCCCATTTAAGAACCAAGGACTTGAATTAAAATAAATTTGACGCGTGTGGAAGCAAATAGAAAACACAAAAGAGAATGCGAAAAAAATTGCTTTCAAGACTTGACCTGTCAGAAAGAGGACTAGTTCTCTCGTCAAATTGTCGATTGGCTATGTATATGTATCTGAGCGAAGACATAATTACCTGACTTAATCAGCTGGCCGAAGTGTTGAAACTGCTTGCGCGATATACCAGCTGGAGTTGTTTCAAACAAGCGAGCCAAAATACCCTGTTAAACGGAAATCAAAATTTGTATTAGAGCCGCAATTATCTTGAACTATTTAAAATACAAATAAACTAGTCTGAAATCAAATAAAGGTAAAATTATTTATTGCTGTTGATGTTGTATACAAGGTGTGGCTGTTAAATAATAGTTGCGTTCCTTATCTCCCAGAAATAGTCCGAAGTAGTCAGATTTAGTCCAAAAAGCGTTCCTTAACTCGAAAATGACTGCAGAAATGAGAGAGCAACTCTCAGTGAAAGTGATTCTCTTCAGTCCGAGGTAGTCAGATTTAGTCAGAAGAATTTTTGCTGGCAGAGTCTTTAAAAGTGTCAAATTCACCTGAATTTAAATTAACGGAAATTAAAGAATACACAAAAAGTGAGAATAATCTAAAAAGTAAAAAAAGTGAATTGAAAGTGGAAGGAGGCAAAAAATAATTGGTATAGTAAGTGTTTATTGTGCTTGCGCTTGTGAGAATATTACTACGTTTGTACGAACGTATTATTTGCAAATAACAATTTGCAAAATGGTAAACTTTGCCGCATAAACGCTGAGTTAATTTTTTATTTGCAAATAACTAAATCACGCAAATAAGTATTGATTAGTGGTACTATTTGCAAATAAGGGCAAGACGCCGCCATTCTTAGGTTTATTTCCTTTTTCGATGGTCATCTTATTGCCTTTTTATAATCAAGACGTTGCCATATTCAACTTTATTTTCCTTTTCGATGGTCATCATATTGCCTTTTTATAATCAGGCATGGGCGTAGCCAGGTAGGGGCAGGGGGGTGCTCGGGCCACCCCCCCCCTAACTTTTAAATTTTCCTTATATATATAGAATAGTACCCTGAAATGCCAGCTTAATAGGGTCACTTCCGTCTCGTTAAAAACCTGACAACTCTTCAAGTACGTTCAATACACGTCGCCATATAGTTGGCCGCACAGGTCCAGTTGAGATTTACTCCTGGTTTTGCGCAATCTTGGCTCTGAACACAATATCCCATAAGGTCTTATGACAACCTTCGCGATGGCCTGCTCCTTTGAGAGAAGAGAACTTCGGGACACTTAAAAGCGACTGCGCTACGTGTGGAGATAGCGGCTTGAAGCGGACACCCAATTGAAATGAACAAACAAAGACAAATGAAACAGACGTAGATGTTCTGGAGGAAGAATGCAGCTCATTCAGAAGGAGCAGTAGAGTTGTGCGTTCCCCGCCACAAACTCCTCTGCAGGCAAAAGCCGGCTCCACGAGCGCGGAGAATGCTGCCGACGTGGCACAGAAGGCTTTATCTTCCCCAATGACAGCTTCCGGCGGTGGTCGTCACCGAACACGAGTTGCTGCAAGCAACTACAAACACGTCACCGCAAGCTCGGAAACCCGCGAATGCATTGAAGAAGAGCAGTTGGCTCAAATTCGAGTCGTCTTGAAGAAGATGCAGAGTGCTGTCTCCAAGCAGAAGAATGTGTCCATCGACATTAAAATGGGCATGGCTTAAATCGAAGAGAGCTTAAATATACTAAGCAATCTCCGAGAGCAAGGCCGGAAAAAGCCTACCCTTTCCGAGCTGCGGAAAACTGGCCCTGGCTCACAAAAGAGGGCTCGACCTCGGTCTGACTCCCCTACAGGTGAGCCGGAAAAGAAAAAAGGCGCAGAAAATCGCACCAAATAATCAATAGACAACGGTTGATAAACGCAGAAACCCAAGCCAGGGCCAGGTCAACCCCTGGCCAATAGGGGCGAGGCGACCAGCCTCGAGGCTGATAAAAGGAAAAGTCTCGCCAAACTCATCATTAAGCCAGCTGAAGGCAAAACCTATGCATAGGTGCTGGGAACGATACGTGGTAAGCTCCAATCTGAGAAGACGTCTACCGTAATTCGATCTGCTCGAAAAAACCGTCGTGTTTATCGAGATAGGGCGCTGTGGCGACTATTCAGCATTCAAAGAAAATGTGTGCACGGCCATTGGCCAGCTTGGATACATCCGTATCCTCACTAGACGTTTACGTCTAGAAGTTCTGGGCGTTGACTGCCTAACCACGGTTCTAGAAGTGGAGAACGCTATACGCGGGGAATTAGGAGGCAAAATGAATGGCCAACTTCGCGCCTTCAGGGATGCGCTTGTTGAGGCTGAGACACAGATTGGGCAAATATGATTAAATTTATATAAGGCAACTTGCTCTTGAACTAAGAGCAGCCGCTGCCATCATCAGTGAACCCTATAGAACAAAGGAAACCTGGCATGTTGACCAATCATGCTCGACCGCGGTATAGATTTCTAACCCCAACTATCGCGCAGAAAGCAGTGGGGTCGGATGTTGCTACGTCTGTGAAAATGGCGCAAATTACTCTGGTTAGCTGCTACCTGGCGCCAAACGATACAGTCATTGTCTTCAGGGAAAAGCTTGAAGGCCTTGAAGATGAGTTGCGTGTTATAACCGGCCATATAATTGTTGCAACGCAAGAGGTGTGGAATGGGGTATTCCCAAACAAACACCAGGGGAAGACTGGTCCTTGAAATGGCAGCCGGCATTGACCTGACCATTCTCAACACCGGGACGACCCCTACATACCGAAGGCCGGGTTTTGGATACTCGATCCCTGACGTAACCCTGGTTTCAGAAAGCCTTCTTGGATGGGCTTACGAATGGAGGGTGGTGGAAGGCCTGATGGAAGTACATCACTGTCCAAGTCACTGACACAACGCAAGAGCAAACACGTAGCATCCCCGCAGGAAACCAGGATGGAACCCGGCTAGGGTTGCAAGTTCGACACATCACTCCTAGCAGATTCCCAAAGCCTTTCACCCACAACGGGAGAGATCCACAACAGGGAGTCTTGTGCTATGCTGGTCGAAGAAACCATGCGCTGTATACATCGGGCATGCAAAGCCTCAATGCCGCAGAGGATAGCATGGTCAGGTAAAAACCAGGTATACTGGTGGAATGATCGAATTACAGAGCTGCGAAGGGCCTGCCATAAAATGCGGAGACTCGCAATGCGCGCTCGTGGCAGACCTGAGGCGCTCACCAGAGTAGCAGCCAGAGTAGCAGCCTACAAAAGCGCTAAGAAAGCACTTGAGGCCGAGAAACAGAAGAGTAAGCGGAACTGCTGAAAAGCGTTATGTGCCGAAGTGAATTGTGATCCTTGGGGCAGGGATATAAAAGAGCCACGAAAAAGTTCCATACGCTATCGCAAGTGAGAGATGAGGTCCGAGTTAAGAATATAATGGATTCACTATTTCTCACACACCCACTAAGAGCAGATACAATGTTCATCGAGGAGCAAGCCGAGGCACCACTGTTCTCGGTATACGGACTGAAGTTAGCTCTGCGAAGCATGAAAGTCGACAAGACTCCAGGCCCCGATGGCACACCAGCGGAGGCAATCAGGTTAGCAGCGAAAACGAGCCCTGATCTCCTGCTTAACATGTACAACAGCTACCTTAGGACACGGGTCTTCCCAAGCCAATGGAAGAAGGCGAGGCTGGTACTTATACCTACGGGCAAAGGGGAACCAAATTCT